GCGCGGCACTCGCGACAGGGTCGAAAAGACTCGCGTGGCACTCGCGCCAGCCTCACCATGTTTCCTTTAGTGATCTTTTCCACATGAAGGTCATTAATGCACAGCTCTTGAAGAGCAAAGCAAGCAGGGCAGCATGCTGCATCTATGTTTAGGAGGTAATCTTCACCATAGTCCTAACCTTGCGTTCTGATTGGGGTTTGGTCACCAAAACGCTGCAAACTTCGACATCAAACTAGTTCTTTCCTGCACAGGGGCAGTGAATTCTTGATGTATAGCAGTTTTGACAAACATGCTTCCGTAGAGCGTTTACATTGTGTTTTAACATAAACCGGGTGACTTTTCGCGAGCCGGGTGACTTTTGACTAATGCTGCGTTTCCATGCGGCCGGGTGACTTTCTGCAAACCCGGGTGACTAAACCCTAGCGCTAGTACTTTGTTATGAGACAATGCAACACTATGCAGAAGGGCAAGTCTTCATAGATTGCCTCGTGTATCCACATGTATCCACATGTATGATATGATATGTTTGATTCTCGAATTGTCATTGAGGTGTAATGATCGTTTCCGAGGGTTCGTTCTGGACGCTTGAAAAGGAATGGGTCCAGACCGAACGTCATCTTTGGACGGCTGTCCCATTGAGAACCCCTCAGGTGCTCCACCACTCACTCGCCAGCACCTCCGAACAGGGGCTCGGTCATGCGCCGCCGTGGAGCGTTGGGGTGCCGAGGCTCTCGTTGGCCTCCACCGTGGAGGTGCAATTCTCGGCGCCCCACGTGGGTGGCGAGGCCTCCTACGAGGAGCATCTGAATGCCGAACAGGTGCAAACCTGGCTGGCCTCGGCGGGCTTGCGGGCTGAGCTGCGGTGAAGCTGCGGTGCGGAACCAAAGAGTGGACAAAAGCTCCCGGTTTTGAGTGGACGGCTCAGGGCTGGGATTTGGAAGACTTCACTGGCGTCAGTTCGGTAACAGAGCTTCATGCACATAATCACAGAAAGACAAAGTCTTGAACCTTTGGGCATTGGAGGTCCAAAAGCTGCTGGTTGTTTGACCCTGTTAACGCAAGACCTGACAGAGAAAGGACAACATGGTTCCCAGAGTACAAATGGACTCGACAACAGTTGTGGAGACAAATGGACTCGCATGAGTCAAACCTAATGGTGCTTTTGCTCGTCCAGGACGTCCACATGCAGAAAACATGACTCACGACGTGCACGGTTCAACTTGACGTAGCCATGGCCCAGTGTTGTAGAAGTCAGGATACCGCAGATATCTAAAGATGTCTTAGTGCGATCTTAACTGGTGCTCTTGGTGAGTGGTTTTGGCTGGTGGCATCTCACTTAGAGATGGCATTAGCCAAGGCGACAGCTCCAACTTCACCTGCCATGGAGCTCGTCCCAGTGGCCCTCCGCCATTTGCCCATCCACCCTACTGCTGTGCCACTTCGCCGCGGAGCACCGGTCGTCCTGGCCATCGCTTGGGCCTCCACCTGCCGCGCTGCCCAACGTGCCCTGCGCGCCCCTCGCGGCGCGCGCCACGCGCGCGGCGCGCGGCGCGCGGCACGGTGTCAGGCGACAGGTGCCGCCGGGGCCCCGAAGGAGGCCAAGCGCGAGCTGCTGCTGCGGTGTGCCGGGGGAAACCGGGGCTTCGTGGCAAGGGAGGCGGAGCGGGAAGAGGTGGGGAGAGGCCAAAGTATTGAGTTCTTTAAGTGTTGAATTGAAAGATGAAAAAGGTGTTCAAACAGTTCAATCAGAAAGGGAGAGGCAAAGTGTTCAAGTGACCTTCGAGCAGAAGACGCTTATCGAGCGTGAACGGTGCTTCACAGCTGTCAACCTGTAAAAGGGGCAGCAGCTGTCGTTATATACTATCATGCAGACTCGATATATTTGTCTTCATATGGATTGTAAAACCTCTGAAGAGGCCAGTGGGGTCGAAGTATTCAAGAGTCTACATGAATGTAAACTCTTGATGAATAAATCCCCCCATATGAAGAGGTGGTTCAATTGACATGGGGTTGGTTTATGAATCAAGAGTATAAGTAAATTGAGACATGGGGTTAGTATATTGAGACATGGTTGACATGGGGTTGGTTTATTAATCAATTGACATGGGGTTAGTATATTGAACTTGCCTGTTCCAGGTCACACTGCTCCTAGAGACCTTGGCTGAACACTTCCAAGCGCCTCCTGGTGCTCGCGAGCGCTTGGATGCACTACGGGGGCGCTGGAAATTGATTCCACGCAAAGAATCAGAACGTTTTGCTTGATTTTTACGGGTTCGCAGGTTACCACTTCGGGTCAATGCAACATGGTTTCACTGCCTACCAAAAAGTTCAAGCTGGAACTTTTCTTCGATTGATGCATGTGGGTAGAATTATTTCTTTGGACAGCAAGCAACTCAGTGTTTTCTTTTTCAAAGTCAAAGAAGGCAGGATCAGGTTTTGATGATTTTGATGACCAACACAAGATCAGTCTGCATTTGAGATAGTTTTTTGTTTGGGATGATTTGCGGCCTGCAGCCTTTCCCAAGGATCACCTGTTTGACCCCTTATGCGCCTGACGCGCATGTCGGAGCCAGGTTGTTTATGGCAATCCCACAACCTTTTGAGGAAAGCAGCTGATAGGGGGAGTGGAACCCGCAGGGGCTAGGGTGTCGTTCCATTTTCAGCCCCCAACCCTGAGCAGAACATGCCAACCCTTTGGCAGACACTCCTCCCCGATCCCCCAAGGATCTACACCAGCTCCAGCGATCTGACGTCCCTAGAGAATCTCCCCTTGGGTTGGCGAACAGGCAGAGCCTTGGAGAGTCTCCGTCTTCGGGACACCCGTTCCATCCCCACGGGGTTTGGAGATGGAACTGAACCTGAACAGAAGTCTCATTCAAACACCGCAACGCGGCCAAATTGGTGGGTGAATGTTTCACAGGGTTGGGACTAGGCTGTGTGTGTGACCTCTTGGTTCTTTTTCAGGGGTGCCATTTGCCGACGGGTTGACATGAAGCATTGTCATCATGTTTGAATGAAAATTCTATGCGCCTTTTTGGGGTGAGGTTCGGTTCATCTACATGGCATCCAAAAGGACAGTGACTGATCCACTACCCCCTCGGTGCACCGAAGCAAGTGAAAAAATGGTCCTCGTATCGTTGCACCAGCCGACCGGTGCAACCTTTGCTTGCCCAGACCGAGCCTTCTGCTTCGCTACGCTTCGCTACGCTTCGCTCTTCCGAAACGCGTCAGGCCCACTTTCGGGCCCACATGCCCACTTTCGGGTGCCCCACATGGCCCCGAGACTGTCTGCCAAACAACTCCTCGAGTCTGTCGCCCGACTGTCTGCGATCCGAGGAGTGGGCCAGTCTTTTCTCACCAGCCGCTTCGCGCGAAACGAGATCGACTTCTTCTCACCGCTGCAGACTCAGGCGCGTTAAGAACTCGTTCTGATCGTCGGATGTTCGAGCAGAGCACACGCGAGCAAGTCATGGCTTGGCACAAAAAAAAGGTGGCCAAGTTCTCTGAAAAAGCAGGTCCTAGAGTGAGTCTCGCGGAACATCTGACTTTGCGAATCCCCGATGTTCGAATCCACGGGTACCTTGTTGACCTCAATGCCTGGGTGGAGAGAGGTAGTTCAACAGATCCAGCACCACCCAGATTGGTGGATGACGACCTGGAGCCGACCTCCTCCCTGATTTCCCTTCAAAATTGACACGCCAACCCATCAAAAAGAATGTCAGGCCAACTGCCAACAATGTCAGGCCAACTGCCAACCCTTATAAAGCATGTCAAATTACTACAACAACTCCAGGTGAGCAACATCCAAAAGGGTCCAAAACACACACACAAACCATGAGAGGAACCATTGGAGCTCAGGTTGTTTTTACCATAAGCACCGGTTTCTCATGTTTGAGGTAACTCAGCTGGTGAACTGCACCTACAAGCTACCAGAGCCCTTGGAGGAGAGCCCGCATGCGAGCGCCAGCCCGGTGAAAATCGATGAAATCCAGGGGGCTAAACATCGGGCGGGCGCCCGGAGAGCAGTGAGGCGACAGGGCCACCAGGCTGAGTATTAACATGTAAAACATCCATTTCACCATGTGTGATGCAAGCCTGTTGTGATGTTAGTTCCCCGGAATCTGGATTCTGCAGCCTCCCTGCTTTGCCAAAAGGATCAGGTTTTTGTTGCGTATGACCTGGCTTCGACCCCAGTGTGTGCTCTGAAGGCTGGTAAAGCTGAAAACTGCGCGACTGTTGTCGATGAACCTTCCATTCATTCACGAGAGCTGGAATGTGTCAATCTTGAACAGAACACTGACCTGGCTCAGACAGTCTTCCCTCCAGCAAGGACAACACAGTGGACAACACCTGTTTCGTCCAGCACATATGGCATCCAAAGTCGTCATCAAACATAAATATATATATATATAATATATACACATACCAGGAACATCCAAAGGGTGCCCATTGGGCACCCCTTAGCACCAAAACTCATTGGGCACTCCTTACGAACTTGTGGTTTTTGCAAGTAGGACCGAACCACTTCAGAGGGTGATTGAAGATTTTTGTGGTTTCTCGATAGGGAGTCGCGGCCGTTCGAAGCGTCCCTCAACCTCCTGCGGCGGTTCATTCGGATGTGGTGTGTTCAAAGGGGTATCCATTGGGCACCCCTTATCAACCATGTGATCCCAAACTCATTGGGTGCTGGTATATATGTATACTAACATGCTTGATTCTTCACTCTTGTGGTTGCTGATGGTTTGGCCCCTGAGAGTGGACAACTGAGGAGAAGTTTTTCGTCGAGTTGGCCTTTCGCTACAGCTCGACCCAGCTGAATCTTCCCTTCTCGCCCAATCTCACGTTGCCTTTGCCGCCTGGGGCGGGAATTTTTCAGGCTCGGCCTTCAGGATCATTTTGGAGTTCAGAAGTGCTCCAGGAAAGTGGGAGATATTGGGAGATCAATCGGGTCACTTCATGTGCCGGCGTATGAATGTGATTGGATGTGCTGCTGAATTGTAGCTGACAAGTCTTGTAAACCAAGGAACGGATTGAGGAGCAACGATTTGAGCAACTACTTGTAAAAGGTGGGTTGAGATAGTTTGAGTTGCAGCCAGATAGTTTTCCCGGTGACTTCTGCGTTGCGAGTCATTTAGGATATCAGGGCACCCTCTGGGCGGCCCCACCTCCAGTGCCATGCTTTCCCCCGTTCGGCGGATGGAGACGCGTTCCGTCAGGTTGCCTACCTGGATGATGAGCTCCTTGTACAAAAGACACGCCTTGGCCAGTCCTCAGTGAACGTGCTGCTGAAGGAAACTGATTGAACGGCGCTCAATCCACAGCTGGCCAAACACCATGTGGGTGTGGCCCGAAACGGACAGCCCAACAGATCAATGGCCTTGTCATCCGAGTTAGTCTGAGGATGTTTGTGGCTCCCCGCACGCCTGGGACGAAATCGGTGCCAGACATGATAAAAAGCGACGATTTGGCTGTGGAAAACTGGAAAACTTGTTGGATCTCATCTACCCAGTTTCAGGATCTGTTGATGGAAGAAAGACACACCACCAACACCCGAACAGATCAGCAGCTAGTAGCCATCACTTGCTACAAGAAAGTTGTCTAATATTCCCTGTCGATTGAGACTACCCTGAGGCTGATCTGAAGTCCTTGCTGATCACGAAAGAGTTCATTCGGTGGCAAGCCCACAAAGCCTTGGGCGTTTGATCAACAAACACTGGGGAAAATGGAAGAAGATGGAAGACGCCTCTGTCATTCACAAGACGCACCGGCCTTTCCACAGAAGTTGAGGCATACCATCTCAATGTAGACGGTTGCTGAATAAAGAGGCCACATGGCTTTTCATCTCCATGTGGGGGGGTTCATGATAGTATGAAACACATAAATCAACAGTCTATTAACATCTCCAGCTCTCACCTCTTGGTTTTCACCTGCACATCATCAAGTCGTGTACACCCACCGCCGCAGGCATTTAGGGAGCAAGAGGCCCGAGCCATCAAGCAGGTGCAATCGGTCGAAGTCGTCCGGTGGAACGAGCGTCTAACCGAGCGTCCACCGTCGTCCACCGTCACTGGCGTGACTGGTGCGTCGTTTTTGAAAAACGGCGCAACAAAGTAAAGACGATGGGACTGGGACTGGAAGAGATGCAATGAATTACATGCCTGTTTTTTTGCATCTAATTCCAGTCCTCCGAAACAAATTTACGTCAAGTGATGTGCCAGTCCCATGGAGTGTTTGATATATCAATCGACATATGTACATTGTATTCGAACGGAGCCACGGTCAGGGGAGGCAACATGTCATGTGGCCCCAATGCAACAGGCAGAACGTGTACAAACTTCTCGTTGGTGTTGCACTGTGACTTGGATTCATGGAGATCCAATCTATGGACTGTCGACTGTCACAGTGAAACGGAGGAGGTGTCAAGCACCAACTGACAGCTGGTCTATGCATCTGAAACACATACCGAAGCTCGATGTGGCCCACCGGAACATCCTCTCAACAGAACCCCCAAGGCGCCGGCATTTCGGTGGGGCTGAGAGCTGATGCTTGTGGTTCCTTCTGTCCGAGGTGTTTTTTTCCTTTACAGTATTCGATGAAGTCTAAAGAGGGATCACGTTTGTATCGATTTGCATCCTATGAGTCCAGTTTTGAATGATTCACCTGTGCCATTGAGAGTTCCTTTGAGCCCTCTCGTCCGCCAGGCGCGCTTGCGTGATTGGCTCCAGCGCAAGGAGTTGGAGCTGGCCGAGCGTTCGGGAACCCCAGCTGGGGAGGAGAAGGGGGGACCCCTGTGGCAAAGACAGCACGCGTCAGGCTTTCTGGTCTGCTCTATAGTGGAAATAGAAGCGGCAATTGGTAATGGGTTTGTTGAATGATGGGGATGAGAAAAACATATCACTTAATTACTTAATTATCTGGGTGCAGCTTGGAGGTAAGTTATGGTTATGCGGCATGCGTCGGCGTTTTTCTTGATCCGCTTCTCTATCCTTTCGAAGAGCCAACGGAACCCATATTGGGATGGTGCAAGTCCTTAAGACATGTGGGATTGCACCATCCTGCATCTATCCAAACATTGATGCTTTGATCCTCCCGGGCCGATGCGCCAGGGCGCCGCCAGCAGCAAGCAGAGGACCGCCATGAACTGAAGTTCACAAACAACAGAGGCCTTTGTGGCAGGCCATAGGCCTTGCAGTTGAACATCCGCCATGCAGGTGGCCTTTGTGAAAGGCTGGTGGCCTTGAGTGTACTTTGGCCCGAAGGGATCCGGATCCTTTCGCCGCTCGGGACCGGTACGGTTCTTGTACCGTCCTTCGTCGCGAGTGGCCAGTGGCCAGTGGCCAGTTTCATGGAAAAGAACATGCCTTAAACTTGTCCTAAGTGGTGAGGATTTTTTCATGATTTTCCAACACCAATGACCATGAACACATCACTTCTGGTGGTGTGCAGGGCTGTAGATTGTTACGTGGAATGCCTGCTCCTCGTTTCAATTTGGTCACCAAGGTCATCAATTGAAATAGAATACAACTTCTTTGTCCTCAGTTCAAGAGGGCGTTTTTCCGTGTTAGTTCCAACAGTTCCACGAAAGGACTGGCAAGCATACCGTGTGCACCGCATGGGAACGATGGAATCCTGTTGTACTATACACTCGTTAGCGTATGCATCAGGCTTTTCGGCTTTATGGCGCAATGCCAACCCTTGGACCACTCTAAATTGTGTTTCAATAATCCAAACAGAACACCCCACCATGCACATTGTTTTGGAGTTTCAAGTTTCAAGCAAGTGGTGCAAAACTTCTTCGCCTCTAGGTGTTCGCCTCTAGCAGGACTGTGGGGTACGCTTTGATTGAACGTCTGTCCGCGAGGAGGATCTCCTGCGTGAGGAGCAAGACTACCGAGATCAACGGCGCTTCGAGCAGGAGGCGAGATCCACGGCGCTCGCTCAAAGGAACTCGCGAACTCCCCCTAACTCGAAGTGGTCCAGTAGGTCAAGAAATAGAGCCACCCAGTGAGCATGACGTTCCAACATCACAAGCACCATTTGGTGATCCATGTGTGATCTGGTGTCTTTCCTGAGGTTAAGTGACGTGAGCTAGGACCCTACCAGGGTACCCAACTGGGAGAGCCGAACTAGGGTTCTGACCCACCTCTGTTGCTTCGGAAAACGGATCCAACCAACTGGTCAATTCCCCTCCTTTCTCCGTAGCCCCATAGGTGGAGCTGCAGCGGCAGCGCGTGGGCCGCTTGCGGCGGGCGGAGCTACAGCAGCAGGAGCGCAGCGAGCGCAGCGAGCGCATGGCCTGAAAAAGCCGGGCGATGCCGGGATCAGAGGATGGACGGACAAGTCCGAAACGAAGAGGGTACGAACTTCTGAATAGCACATCTTCGCAGATCTCCTGGAGCATGTACTTTGTGGTGGGGTCCAAAACCAAGATGCGATACTTCCTGCGATATAGAATGATGTTTAGTTTAAATACCTACTGCGTATTGGTGTATTGTATGTATATGTATGTATATAATATATATATCTATGTTAGTAATTGTCAGCACTGTATTTGTACGGGTTAAACATGAACGGTAACCCTACAGCAATCTATTCGTCCTAGCAGACTTCTCATCCCACAATTCTGCAATGGATGTTTGGTTTTGACCCAATACTATTAGAGTGTGGATGTAGCGTGATCCTGGAATGGACTTGGAGCTGGTCTTACTGTCCAACTGCAGCTTTGCTGGAAACTCCGGGAGTCTTATGGATGAAACGTGCGTGTTCTTCCTCGTGGTCGACGCAAGAGATCCCATCAAACACCAAGAGATCCCATCGACATCCATATCCGGTGCTGTAGAGTTGAACTGCAAAGCACGGTGCTTAGCCAGCGTGACCTGATAGCATGTTCCATGCTCCCAACCCCTCCCAACCCCGCATGCGACACTTCGGTCATGCTACACACGGTCGTGCGACACGGTTGTGTGTGCACTTTTGTGTGCACTTGAGGGTGTTCACTTGGTTGAGATCTTCTGCCATGATTGTGCAAGTTTAGTGGTCGGGAAATCTCCGTTGGGAATCTCTTTTGGAAAACTACGTCGAACGGCTGGAGGTTGTCCCTATACGCACACCAAAAAGCTCGGTTTTCCACGTATTACAACACTCGGACGGGTGGTGGTCGTGGATTTGGTGGACCAGTCGCACCAGTCGAGATCTGCGCCTCTCAAGGCGTGCGCATCAACCGGTCGCGCCCGGTCGCGTCCAGGAGCTGGACATGGCGCTGGAGAATCAGATCTTCCGCAGCTCCGCACGAGAAATGCGAGAGGCCGTAGTGACGTGACGGCAGCGAAGTTGACTGCAACGAGGGCTGAGACGTGCCGCTAAATCGACACGGGTTTAACACACCTGCATTTGGAAGATCAATTCTTCGAAAATCAGGTATAGTCTTCGAAATCAAGTGTGTACATTTAACATAGATCAACATAGTATTTATGGTTGAATCATGTTGAATTCAAAACCCTTTCGGATTAGATTCGATGTGAACCAAATTAATGAAGTCCGACTACCTCCAACTTTATGATCTTCAACGTGAAGAAACACATGGGCACATGATTCTTGCAAATTTCTTGTCCACCCAAATTTGGTGTGAACTCGCAGCACTATAGTTTCTGGCCATTCCCAAGTGTGTTTGCTGTGTCATTGTGTGTCCTCCATGTGAAAAGAAGATCCTTTCTTCTGCTACGAGGCACCTCCCAAGTGTCTGTTTGTAGCCAGTTTCGAAGTTCTATGTGGAATACCAGTTTCTATCTATGTGGAATCAGTTTGGTCATCTTTTTGGTCTTTTTCGTGGTCACTTCCAGTTTCCGGACGTTCACTTCGCCGAAGCCGCCGCCGAGGTGGCGGTCGGCGCCCAGACCTTGGCGGCGTATTCCACACCGCGCGTCTGTCCGGGGCGGACCAGGCGGAGGGGTCGGACGGGTCGGACGGTGAGTTGAAAAATCAGAGAGGTGTTTGGGATCATGTTGAGACTCAATGTTTTAGTATTCAGTTCTCCAACGGATTTCCCAATCAGAGGTTTCATCGCTATTTTGCAAAAGATTCCAACAAATCTAGCCTCAGGTTCATGTTCTGTTAGTTGATTGAGGGCCAAACGGAAGTTTCCATTCCTTGGCACATCTTGTCACGAAAGGTCTGGCTGGCCGATGGGCCATCGGCCGACCCTCGGCTCCGGAGCCGAGCAGGTGCAAAAGCGCCAGAACGTCCAGATGCCGATGAACGTCGGCCCAGGGCCCCAGGCGATGTCCGCTGGCCTGAACTCGCGCGCTGTCGTGCGTTTGCGCTTGATGTCGGAGCCAAAACAACATGAAGTGCACATCACTTTGACCACGCTCGTGTTCAACTCTGAAAAGCAACATGCATGTGGGCCAATTCAAGTTCAAAAACATAGCATCCGTTTGCTTACGGACCGTTGCTGCCGTTTTGGCTCTCGATTTTATCGGTGTTTCTGTGGAGGACTGGCGGCCAAACTGGTCACATCATCCACTGGAAGCCACTTTTGCCACTTTTCAGGTGGTCATCCAGGTTCCTCATTTGATTTTGTCGATCACCAAACAGTTGAGATTGCTAAGATATGTTAAGATGGTGCTGAGATTTCATGACATGCGAACAGATAGTCCTATATAATCCTATATATTATATATATCCCAGCTACAGTAGGTTCCCCATCCACCCGTAGCCATGTCATGCCATGTTGACAACATAAGAAGGGCTGGTATAGCTGTTGACCTTTGCGGGACACGGGCAGTATATTAAGTTCTGGAGGGTGTCACACCTCATGACTGATGACTGCTGTATCCAACCATTTGGACGCCCGGCTTTGGAGAGCTTTGTCCACTTGCATCACACCAAAAGCACAGTATTCACGATGCTTTTTTTCGGGGGTGCAGGATGTCGTCCAACAGATTCCAACAGTAAGACTCTTTTATTTCTCGATGCCTCCTTCTCGTCGTTGCCCGCAGGTTTCACTGCCACGAAGACGCTCGTGAGCTGATTGTTGGCCGTTGATGGATGCGACGAACCGGCCTGTGATTGAATTCGTCATTTCCCTGAAGCCAAGTCTTGTGGCCTCTTCTTGTGGAACAAAACTCGAAGCCGCTGTCGGTCCGTATCCTTGTATAATGCACGTATAATGCACGTATGCGTTCTCTTCCATTCGGGAATTCTGAAGAATCTGGAAAGAGATGATCACCAGCAGAGTGAAGCTTCTAGCAGTTATGGAAGCCCTGGTTGCAATTGATGTATGTATCCGTCAGAACCAGGTATGACCAACCAACCAGAATCAGGTATGACCAAAAGAAGGCGAGTTTGTTAAAATGTATCTTTGATCATGGCTGAATGGGAAAGGGGGGCATTACTGAAAGTACACCAGAGGGCAACAGTATTGCTAGGCCCTTTCAGCCATAGTTTTTGGAGGTGACAAACAGTAGACCTTTGACAAAGAGGCCCAGGCCCATTTGTCTCTTAAAGTTATAGTCACCACATCAACAATCGTGATACATTATAGTCCCATCCTTGAGATTGGCACTGATCATCGATGGGCCAAAGATGCTGGTGCCGCCCTGGTTGTGCGTTCCTTTTCTTCTCGACCCATGTCATCTTGCCGAGACATTGAGGGATCAGTTGCCGCAGTTGGCAGATGATTAGGCCGTGTTCTTTGCATTTTCGGCGTTCAAAAAGCGCGCAACATTGGCTCCAGCCCAGAACTGCGGACAGAGCAGAACGTTCCTCTTCGGATGTGGCTCAAGAAGAATTATCCAGGTACGTACAGATTTAGTATTATTTAGTCTATTTGTGCTTTTTGCCAGTAGGCTAAATCTCATTTTGAGCCAGGGCCATGTGTATATACGCAACCTCCCGACGCTAAGGATCTACCGTTGGAGTGTACTTTACTTTCAATAGCGCCGGCGCAGGCCTTGCAAGTTTGCTGCTTGAATATGTTTCAGTGTCAGTCCAGGGGGATGCTTGTTTTGCAGCGATTTCAGAAAGTTGGGGCTCAACTTCCACCAAACTCAGGCACAGACTCGGATTGGAACACTCCAAACTCTCCCAACATGTACCACACATCCACACGGCTTCGTCCCGCAAAAGCACCGGAAGAAGCACGCGTTTCTCACCAGAGCGGAGCTTTGGCAGCTCAACCGTTCTTCGGGGAGCTGCCAGGGTGCCACAGAAGGCCGACGCGCCACACCGAGCGTTCGCTTCGTCCCCAAACGTCTCGAGCGCAGGGAGCGCAGAAGGATCCGATGCGACACACCAGCGACGCTGCACCGTGAAGGATGCACCAAACCACTCCGTAGACCGAGCTGGTGGGTCACCGTCATTTTTCGGGGCGCAGCGCCTGGTGGTGGTTTGTGAGACCTCCACCCGCATATGTTTGCGAAATTCCATATGTTGAGCTTTTTTGGATCGAAACAAGATAGCATGTCCTAGGTCTAGTGTGTGTTCAATAGTTCTTGCAGCGAAAGCAATTGGGTTCGAACTGTCTTGTTGGACAGTTGGACAGATCGTTTCCTTCATAGACTCAAACAGAACATCATTGGACGGGCTCCTCAAATTTTCGATGTCCCTCTTCATTCAAATCTTGTCGTTTGTTTGAGGTCTTTCTTGACAAGCCAACATCATCTGCAATGTACAATAAACATCTCCCCCTCCACAACTGGCCTCTCTTTTTCATGGGTGTTTTTCTTCATCAAACTAGTTGTGTTGCTTCCTCGTATGAACATCCTTTTCTATATACCCTTAACCCTTAATGGCCCTTATTTATCCAAGTCTTTGTTCATTAATGCATCGACTGTCCCAATCATGGGTGATGGGCTTTGATTCAGGTGGCTTTTTGCTCTCGACTGCAGTTGATTTGTACAGGGGCCCGGGTGTATTGAAGAGACGCCATGAACCCATTTGGATGAGCCAGAGATACCCAGAGCTTTGTAAACCATCAAGAAACAAACTTTGTTAGCCCTGGATCTGGGCATTTGGGGTACCAACGGCACGTGGAAGAGGATTCAACGCCTGTTTGTGACCATCAATGACGCTTGGGTTTCTCACATGGGTACGTCGGTGGACCCTTGCGTACGCACACTTGTGAAACCTGCAAGTGAGCAGCGAACGGCAGTGTTTGACTAAAAAGTGGTCCGTCGAGAAGGTGCTAGGAACCTTGGTGTGCAATGTGGAAACCTTCGCAGTGTGGGTCTCCGGGGAAGTCTGCATGGTTCCTTAAGTGCTCTCCATCTGCGGTTCGGCACAAAACTTTCTTTTTATCTTTATTTTGGCAGCACTTCTCGATGACCCAAAATGAGATGGGCCAAGCCTGCATTTCCTGGGTTTCCACCGCTACCTGCCCAAGTACCACGCTTATTTTTAAAATACCTTCGATTGGATACCTTGGAACCCCCTCAATTTGCAGCCTACAACGATGTGGACGAGAAACCGTCCAAACATTTCCAGCTATTTGTTGAGCTTTTCTCTAGTGCACGTGGTGCCTCAAATCACAGCCTGAGCACCCTTGTCATGAGTTTAGTCTTAGTCGATGCTCATCCCCCCCCAAAAAGAAAAGAATGAGACCGCCTTGCTAACACTCCGCGACGCTTTTGTCTGCGTGCGATGCGGCGATGTCCACAGTTCGGCGCGCGGGTCTCGCAGCATTTGTTGGGCCTCGGACAGTGGCCAAGAAGAGCGTGACAGAACTGCGCCAGTGTGGATTTGGGCGCAGTCATTGGAGGCAGGAGTGCAGGGAGATGGGTGTGAATGGAAGGATTGACCCAGAGCCAGATCAGTGGAAGTGGATGCGTCGCTGCGTTCGTAGGGACTTCTTCAGCCAGTTGGAGTGCTGGAACCACAATCTCAGATCTCCAATCTAGTGGAATTGGCTGCCTATTCATCTAGAAAGCATAGACAGACCCAGACAGACGACTCAACTGAACTGCATCTGAACTGGTGCAGCATCAAGTACTCAGCAATACGCCAATACGCGCCACTTTGATGCCAATTTTTTCCTTGACAAGGGCCCATTGTTTACATATAACCACGTGCAACCCTTGTGGCTGCCTGAACACTCCATTCTTTTTGTTTTGGGCACCTCTCTACAATGATGTTGACCCTCCAGCCCTGGAAAGGTAAAACCATTCTAGAGGCGGGAGGGTTGTTCATCAGCCGTTTACTTGAACCCTCCAAGTTGGGTCAGGTGTGTTGGCAAGTCCTCCGGTTCATCACCTGTGGGGTCCCAAAACAGCCTCCCGATCCTCGCAGCGGACCCCAGGAGGCCGCACGGAGACGCCGTCCCGACGGCCATGGAGGCGCGCGGGAAGTGGAACCGCGTGAGTTTGGGTGTTCGGATTTGGTGGAAGCAGCAAGAGTGAGGACTGAAGACAGGGTGAAACATGAGTGGAACATTGGTGAATGGTTGAAAGACAGCATCAGCAATTCCAAAGGGGTGGTTTGAGTCTCATCCAGAGAGAGGATGTTTTGGAGCACCCCCTACCCAGGCACCGGAAGTCCTGGAGCGTGGAAGAGTTTTACTGTGAGTGTTGGGGCTTAGTAGATGGGAGGTGTGTGTGTGTGTGTCCCATCCGTAATAGTACATAGTGGCTCTTATGACTGGAATCTCACCGTGATCTCCCGCGTTCGCGGAGCTGGCTTTGAAGGGTTCCTGATTCCCTTGCTTTCAATATCTTTCAATCAGAACTCTTAGTGTGGGAATCGTTCTTTTTCATCAACGGCGCAAGACCGGACGCATCACGGACGACACCAGACCCAACGCTCGTCTGTACGAAACTTTCACTGCCTCGCTCGTCGAGCGCTGGTCGAGTTCATGGCACCCGGAGTGGTTCGTAGTTCATTCCGTTTCATGTTCAGTGGAAAACCGGTCGGTCACCCGGGCGACATGACAGCAAAACCATGAGCCACATGCGACCCACAGCCACATGCGAGGTGGTTCTCTTGAGCAGTGAAGGCTTGCCTGAGGGCTCGTTGCTCTCGTTGAAGCATGGAGCCCCAGCTTTGAACATCAACGCGACGGGTTGATGCGACCCTTACTACGGACGAGGTGCAACGTCAGCGAGGAGTATGACCTCACAGGACAGGTGTTTGTACATTGTTGTTTGTTTTCTGTGTTTGGAACCTCCGAAAAGAGGCTTTCTCTTGTCAAAACCGGCCGGGCCTCCCAGTTTTCAGCTCACGGGGTATCCTGGGTAAAGGATTATTGGTTTATAAAGACATGT